TGCTGAAACGATCTCTAAACCTTCCACCTCATCCGAACTAAGAGAGAACTCCTTCACCGAACAAAACGAGTTTGTTTTTATGCCAACCAGGACTCCGCCGCTCTGACGTCCTACTCTGTCTTTCCTGAAGATTGTGTAGTCAGAGTGTAGAATCTTCACATTACTGATGTTCTCGTTGAGCCATGTTTCGTTCACACAGACGACATCAAGGTTTTCACCATAGACGAAGTCATGAAATCGTTCTAGATTACAGATAGTTGAGTTAGTGGTGACATCTTTGTGGACACTTTTCAAACTTCTGGCATTTACTGTGGCGCACTTTATAGAAAAGTTTGTAGTTTTGCAGGTAGGACCGGGATTGGTGGCAATATCACCAGCGAGCAGGATACACAGGAATAGATGGAGCGTATTATTCTTAATATTAAATTGCAGACCATAGCGATAGTTAGACTTTGAAGGCCAGGTATATTTCCGTAAGATGTTGTCGCGCGTGGAAGTCCAAAGGCATCCCAGTCTATTTGGAAGTGATGCAAGTTCTGAAGCGATTGAAACATTCCAAGGAACTGTTTTGACTTTGGGGTTTATAAGCTGAGGCTTAGATCTTGTAGATAGCCAGAAAGATACCACGAGAAACAAGATCCAAAATGACGTTGATATGGCGAAAAGTTTGGCGGATTTTAAGCATCATTTCTTGGTATTTTTCCAAAAAGTTCTGATTAAAACGGGATTGTTGTTATAATTGTTCTAATCGATGGCTGTTATTCCGCACGCGCTCGAAACGAACGCGGTTCGTAGTTGTTCTTTGAGTCACGCAATGGTATGCGCACGTCAGAATCAACCGTCCAACTTCGCGAGCTTAAAAATCAACTGAATTTCTTGCGATTTGACAAGTAATCCACCAAAATATAAAGCAAATATTGAAGATTGCACCAAACCAACTTAACTTTTCCAAAGATAAACACTTTATCCACAATTTTATAAGAGATTTACCCCACGAAGACGAAGAAATGAGGTAAAAAATTGACAATTTTACGGAGCGATTTGACTCGCTGCTCGCGCAGCGCGCGTCACGTCACAATTCTACGACAATCTAAAAATTTTTGATACGAAACCACACTAAAACTTGTAAGTGGGCCTTTTTTCCCATCAAAATGAATTAAACATGAATCAGAAGACGCCATGTTTACAAATGCTAAGCTGGAAACTTCCAACCTCGTCCCCAGGGTCTTCTTAGAAGACCCTGGGGACGAGGTTGGGAAAATTCATGTAAGAATGAGCATGAGCCCGCGAAAATCGGCATTTAGAGTGTTTATTACAGCAAGTATCCTGAACAAAAATGGCGGCGATCGATTGCGAAAGATGTCGATTTCTTCAATTTTCGAAGAAGAAATACTCGAAAACTGCAGGTTTTGGGAAGTGCAAACAAGCGGATTTGGACTTTGTATAATTTATCCTAATTATTTATCTTGTTTCAAAGTAGTGCCCGAACCCGGGCAACGGAACTGAACGATATCGTGCCACAGAATACGGCTTAATATAGTAATAGATTGATTTCACAACTGACAAGTGACAAAGTTATCGATTTGAAAATGTTTTTGTGTTGTTTATATTGTCGTAATTGTACAGCACGTGCAGTTGCACGCGCCCAGCATGTAGCGATAACTGCATGCGATCGGTTCTCATTCTCGTACCCAGAGCCCTTCTTACGCGCGGTGCGGCGAGGGGCTCTGGCCAAATCCCAATCTCGTTCCCCGAACCTGCGATCCTTGGGAATGAACGCGAGGCTCTGGGATAATCCGTTTCAGGGAGGAATCTGATTGGCCGTTGAAATGAAATGCGTAGTTCAATCTTAGCCAGGATTCCTGGCTTCCGGCAGCGGATTATCCCAGAGCCTCGCGTTCCTTCCCGAGGATCGCAGGTTCGGGGAACGAGATTGGCCAAATCCATATTCCGAACTGGCATCCGATTGGCAAGTTGAGTTCTAACACCGGACATTGTTTTCTTACCATGTTTTTATGGTATCCGGTTATGGATTTGGCCAGAGCCCCTCGTCGCACCGCGCGTAAGAAGGGCTCTGGGTACGAGAATGATTGGTTCTCTAAATTTAGCAGTCATTCTAAAAATACAAGTGATCTTTGACATGTTTTGATATAATATTGGAACAGAGCATGCTCGACAGAAATTAAACACAAAAACGGCAGAGCCTTATTTTCAGTCTACGCGAGGGGAAATCAGGCTCTGCTCTCAGGGTAACAATTAATTGGATGCATCATAGGCAACCCAAAACGGCGTGTAGAATGCACCAAATGCTTCCAAATGTCAATTTATAATAAGCTCGCCCCATTCCTCTGTCATTTGTCGCGCGCCGCGCAAGCACTCAATGAAAAGAGTTGTTCATATATATAGATTATACCTAAGGTTGGCAACTATATCTCAACTGACGAATATACGACTTCGGCAAAACGCAAAATACTTCGCACACGTAAATAAAACATGATAAAAAATTATAGCACATTAAACTCTGATACTTTTTCTATATACCCGCCGCATAAAGTTTGTTTTCAAGACGGTAAGAAAGCTGAAAAATTTGCAAAAACATTTCATGGTCTGACAAAATTTTTGTTGTCTTCATGCGGGATGCTAGAGGTTATTTCATTCGTCTTATTTTCAAAAAAATTATGCGATTCAATTGGTTGAAAACGTGAACAGTTTGTGACGTATATTTATAGTGAAAATTTGGTTTCAGGGGGGTTGAACTACAACAGGAAGACTGCTAAAATACAAGAGCGATTTTTTTCGAAGATGAAATGGTGAATTTTAAAAACGTTTTAAATTCATCCATAACTTTTATCTACAGCAAAACAACCAGGCAACTTTTGGCTACATGTACATGTACACGTAATGTCATAAAATTCTGAGCAATAATGGCGAAGAAAATTTGTTAACAAGACGGCGATATGCGAACACGCTTCGTTGTGAACCTCAGAAAAGTTATATAGGTATGAATTTATTTTATAGCGCTTTTAGTACTGTAACTTGGAACATTAGGTTGGATCATTCATTCATTGGATCATTTATTAGCTTGCGGCGCGCGACAAATGACAGAGGAATGGGGCGAGCTTAATATAAATTGACATTTGGAAGCATTTGGTGCATTCTACACGCCGTTTTGGGCTGCCTATGGATGCATGAAATGACTTGAAAAGTTACTTATCTTGAATTTTGTTGGCTTGTTTCAAATAGCTCAAATCTGGAGTTAATAAGATGTTAGTATTGAATATTCGGAGTTTGTTCTGTCTTATAAATACCGTCGTAATCCTCTGAAATTGAAAAAAAAAACTTTTTAGTATACTACTTTCCAACAATTTAACAGAGTATGCTTTTGGAAATGCACTAGTTGCTGTATTCAATTTGTCTACGAGTTTAAGTATGTATTTTTATTTTCTGTTCTTTGTATATAATTTGCTTTTAATAGAACGGCTCCTTTAGAAAGCATTGACCATTGTTATCAATTGGAAACTCTGTTAAGACGAGGGTGTTAGTGTCTTTATAGTAATTGAATTCGGAACAACTGTTCATATCTAGGTAATTTTATGTAGGTTTATTATATATGCTAAAATTACGTTACATATATGTTACAAACAGAAACAATATTTACAAAATTGACAAGGCTGTGAAACTGCTAAGCTTGTTTGACAAGATATAGGTGCGGTTTAGTACTACAATAAAGTACAATATGATTAAAGGGGCAATGTAACCGATTTTGATGAGCAATTCTAACCCTCGCAAACTTTGCTGAAAACTGAAAAAGAGCGAGTCTAAGCACAAAATAAAGCAATAACAGACACAAAAAACCATGTACAGAAGTCTGGATGGGCAAGATTACGCCAGAATTGCGATGGATTGTAAATGGCATCTTGATTAATTGTTGGCAGACACTTTTTCAAGTTTTAGTCAATTTTTATGAAAATGTCATGTTACATGTTGCGTGGAAGTTCAAAGTTGTTTAATATATGACTCATGTATCATAACTTAATTCATTTACAATGTTTATTTTTAACTTTGTAGTTCAGTTTTTGAATAAAAGGTATTTTAGGTCAAAAATCGGTGACATTGCCCCTTTAAGGCCTGCAGTAATAACCTTGCGCTTATCATGCGCCGAATCTAAATGCGCCGAATCTAAGTGAGCCAAAAAGCTTCTATACTTCTTCCTCTTTACTACTTCTTCTATTTCGATTTCTACGATTTTCTTCTTCCAAATGCACGTGAACGAGAAGACAAATTATGAACACTCACCCACTCGTTCACAACCATGCATCAAAAGAAAATGGCGCCTAAATACTTACAGCAAAAATTGCAAGTGTGAAGTGTGAACTTTAAAATTCTTCGTATACCGTAAACCTCCGACTATAAGCCCCGGGCTTATATACTTGGCTTATACAAGGGGGGCTAAGCATATACGGGGGGGGCTTATACATGGACGATATCTTTTGTGTTAGTGTAATAGTGATAAACGAGTATAGTAATAGTGATAAACAAGTGTTAAGCATAGTAATAATAGTGATTAATAGTGGTAATAGTGATAAACAAGTGGGCTTATATTCGGGTGGGCTTATATTCGGGGGCTTATATTTGGAATGAGGTAAGCGTTAGTACATGCGGTGGGCTTATATGCGGGGGGGGGGCTTATATTCGGGTGGGGGCTTATAGTCGGAGGTTTACGGCATGCATTGTAAAGACTATATGCGTTCACATGAGAATGGACGAATTCGGAACCTTACAAAAATTTGTCCGGTTCCACTATCCACACGGCCTGGAGATTCGTACGATAGCCGCATGTGCTCACTTTGATACGTCACGTGTGAAAGTGAAGTAGACAATCGTGCAACTTTGAGTATTAACAGTTCCCAACTACGGTCATGCAAGTATGAAAGGGGACCTAGATTTCATAACATTTTATCGTGCAATATAACGCAATGCAACTAATTTTCACTGCCACTCTAAGAACCAGAAGAGCCACCGGAACTGCCAAGACTGGATGTATCATTTCGTACCTCACGCATGCCAAACCAAAGCTGCGTCGTAGAATTAGCATTCTGCACACAACGATGTACTTTTTTAACACAATCAGAAGGAGAAGCATAGTTGTCAAAATACTTGTCACCGTTTGTACAAGACGAATCGTTGGCACTGACCTTACATTTACCGTCAGGAATACTATGCCTAATATGGACATGCAATGGCCTTTTCGGTCTCTGATGAAGCTTAACTTGACAACCATTTAAATCATATCCTCCAATTTTACCATGTCCTTCGCCAATAGTAACATAGGAGGTATGATTGTTGTTTAGTTCAAGCACATCCTGGCTTATATTTCCAAGCCGAATTTGAACATAGTCCAATTTTTCCATATCACGGTGTTTTTCATAGTCACAGGTAAACTGCAGGAAAGTTGAACTCTCTTTGATAGATTCCATTCTTGTTTTCCTAAGTCGATAACCACTCCATTCTAGACCATTTTCTCCGACAGCGAAATTGTCAGATAAAGATTTTTTAAACTGACTATCAGATCCATTGGCATTGGCAAAACTGCAAGAATGCACCAAAGTCCAAGCACCATCAGAATCAAAATGACAATATACTTCATATAATGGGTCTCCGACAGAATCCACTACTTTGTACATGCCCGATTTCCGGGAGCCTCGGCCATATTCTTGGCATGACGTGATTGGCTGGTCACAGTTGTCTCCATGGTAACCCTCCGGGCATTCGCAGGTAAAACGTTTCCACAGCTGTTCCTGGGAGTTGATTGGTTTACATATTTTGTTGTTGGGACAGAGATCTGATTGCTGACAACAGTTGTACTTCATTGAACAACTCATGCCTGAACATTGGCCCTCCAGTTTCTAAGAAGATAAAATAAAACAAAATTGTGCGGCTGCAACGTGAATATTAAGAAGAAAATATCGGAATATACAGTATGCATGTGAGTTACACAGGAAACACATTGAAATATCTCAAAAATATGACAAATGTAAATTGTTACTTCTTAAATTGACCTGTAGTTACATGCATTACCTGAAACGTTTCTGTCAAATGTCGCATTTCGTACATAGCATAGACGCAGTCATCTTTGTCATGAAGCAATGAACTATTCTCTTTCTTGTGACTTGAACACAGTTGACATTCAGTATTTTGACGAATTTGAAACGACTGACACCGACAGTTCTCCAAGCAGTGCTCCAGACAATCCGCTATGTTTCCACTTCCAACGTTGAACGTATCAATGAGACATGATTTGTCAAATTCTTTGTTTTTCTCTGCTTTTATGGTGAACTGTTGTTGAGTGTTGAACATTGATGCATTGGTATAAGGCAGTGTTGCCAAAATAATGGCGGCTAGACTATATAAAGTAAAAAAACGGAGGTTAACCAGTACTAATTTATCAGTTCAAATATAAGAATGTCTACATATTTTTAGTCATTGAAGAACATAATGCTCGAAGCTTGAAGAGTTTTCACTCAGTAAACGGTCAACAAGTTAGTAATATATCCCGCTTTCAGGATCTGATCTACACCGAAAACGCTGACCTTGCTTTTGTAACGGAAACCTGGTTACATAAAGACATTGAGAACGCTGAATTACTCCCAACTGAATACGAGGTTTTCAGAAAGGATAGAGAAAGTCGTGCGGGCGGAGTGTTATTAGCGGTAAAATCGGGTTCGTTTACTTCAGTCCATGAAATAGTCCATGAAAAGTGTGATCTTGAATTAATTTCCGTGGAACTCACTACCATATCAAGAACTAAACTGTGCATTTGCTGTTGCTACAGACCACCAAACTCCAACAGAAATTGGTTTCAACTATTTGATTCGTACCTCGCTTACTTGTCGGCGAGATATGACGATATTCTCATTTATGGAGACTTTAATCTACCTAAAATTATTTGGGATTCTCCAGATCAAACTACTGGTGTTGATGAGATTCAATTCACTGAACTCTTGAATGACTACTTTCTGTCGCAAGTAAATCACCAACCAACAAGAGCTAACAATATCTTAGATCTAGTCATCACTAGTGTGCCAGAGAAAGTACAAGTTGATGCCATTCTGCTACCACAGGAAAGCGGAGTTATCACGGACCACAATTGTCTCATCTTCCATGTGAAAGCGACCGTGATAGCACCAGTTAAGTTGAATAGATATGTCTATGACTACCAGAAAGGCGATTTCGAAGGTCTACGCTCGAACTTGCAGAATATTGACTTTTCCAACATCGTGGAAAGTAATACTGATGTAAACAGAGCCTGGTTGGAATGGAAAGAAAGGTATATAGCCGTAGTACGTACCTTTATTCCTTTGAGAAAGATAAAAGGCAAGCGCTCACCACCATGGATAACTGGACATATATTGTATATGATTCGAAAGAAGGAAACGTTACGTAAAAAGCTGAGAAGTTCGTCTTCAAGTTTCTTGATTGCCAAGTTCAAGCAACTACGGTTGGCAGTCAAACGTTTGATAAGCGAAAGCCGAGCCAGATA